GGTATAGCCGGGTTCCTATCTTCCGAGGGGCTTACAGCGGCAGGTATTCCTTCTAACCGGGGGTTGCTGGATATGATTGTTGCGCTAGGATGGTTGAAGACATTCATCTCGGGATTCGGAGGGGATCCCGACAATATTACGGCAGTGGGCCAGAGTGCTGGTGCTGGTAAGCATTCCGAAGAATGGCTGGGTATGAGTTTTCTCTAAACATTGAATTTAGCTTCGCTTTGTTACCTGCTTGGTCACGAATAGCCTTTATTTAGACAAGCTGTGCTTCTGGGCGGCACATTTCTCATGATGAGACCGCGATCGACGAGGCAGGCAGAGGTGCTGTATGGTGAGATTATTGACACTCTTGGATTGACTAGTATGTCACCGAATGAGAGATTGAAAGCGCTGCTTTCAATGCCTAGCGACAAGCTGGTACCAATGACTCCCGATGTTGTTCGCTTGGGGCCCGTCATCGATAATAGCGTCATTCTCCAGAAGCCAATCTTCTCGAACCTGGCCAACAATGAGTTGGTCCTTCCTGGAAAGACTTGGTGTCAGAAAATATACTTAGTGCAGAGTGAATTTGATGTAAGTATTAGTCGAAGGATACGTTGCTCTCACTGACCACATTTAAGGGATCAATTTTTGATCAGGTAAACCTTGGTTTGCGGCCGCCGGGCGTCGGAGATGCATTTCGTCAACACCTTGAGGACTCTTTTGGCATAAAACGAGCTGCTATCGTCATAGAGACTTACAAGCTCATGGGAAACATTCCAGACTCTTTGACTGTTGAGAACATAATAAATCTGATTACAGATATCATGTTTCTCGCACCAGCAATAGCGCTCAGCGAAGCTTGGGTTGGACGAGCAGTCTTAGGACTGTTCAATGAGCACAATCCATGGAACGGGCCTTACGAAGGCAAGGCAAATCATCTTCTGGACGTCGCTCTTCTTTGGGGAAACTGTAACGGGGTTTATGAACAAAAGAACTGGACTGTTGCCCGAGCCTTGGCAGAAAGCTTTTTGTCATTCGTCAACAACAAGGTTGACCTTCCGCTTTTCGATCAGCAGGAAAGAGTGACTGTCTTCGGGCCAAGTGATGAAGATGTGTCAAGCACTATAGTAGGCTTGAAGGACGAAAAGGCGAAGAGAAGCCGAGACATCTTCAAACTGGCGGCAAACGTTGGCGGCCTAGACGCACTTCTAGATTCAGTCCAGAGCTTCTTATCCAGCTAGAAAATGATGCAGCCATACCAATATTAAAATTGCAAGAGATGAAGATCAGATGTCATGTGTTTCATTAGAATCTAGGAACGGGGAATCAAGAAAGTGAACTTGAAGCAAGGTAGAAGAATAGTGACGATGGTACAGGTGACGGAAGCTTCCGCAGAAGAGCCAAAGGAGACATAGTCGCCATATAGCACTTGTCACAGGCGTTTGAAGCGTACATATGAAACTCTTTGGTCAATATAGAGCTTCCGATGTGTCTGTAATTCCATACCACTTTAGATAATTATTGACATCGACGAATGTATCTCATACATCGTCTACTGAATTTCTAGGGCCATCCTCGCGACAGGTTATCAGCAAGCAGCTTTCAAGAAGCTGATCGAGCGTTTTGAACGTCAAAGTCTTCATAAAGGTGGGAAGATTAGTTCCCGGGCCCGATGCCATACCTATCATTTGCGTGCAGATGACCGAATTGAGATCTTCCTTGCCTGAGGGGAACAATTGATAGCAAGCTTTGTTTGATGGCAATTCCGTCGTCACATTTTGTCGGAGAGTCTCAAGGCTATCATGATGAACCCTTAAAGGCTTGCCTGTTGCAGAGCTGGTTAGTATTTCACGCAGATTGTGTCTTTGCGCCCAAAAGACGACGGAGTCAACGAAATTAGAAAGCACTTACCCCATTTGCTTTCCACAAGAGCTACTAGCTCATTCAATGTCATTCTATCACCCACGAGGCTCATCTCCCTAGGCCATTCATCCGCCGCGACATCTAAGAGGTAGGCCACTGCCGTACCCACGTCGGTCGTATGAGTAAATACTACAGGTTGGTCCCCAACACCCGGAATGACCATGATCTGGCTCGGGATGTCAAGAATACAATACAACTGGCTGCTCAAACTCGTAGGTAGATATGGCAACGCTAGATAGTCCATGAAGAATCCATTGCGAATCAATGAATAGCGAAGTTTCGGGTGACGATCAAGCTCTGCTTCAGCTTGAAGGAACTTGTTGCGCGGCTGGTAGGGCATGTTCCTAAAGGACAATTAAATATCAAAGGAAAGAGCAGGAGTGAAAATAGTTTAGGACATACTCAGCTGGCGAATGGTAGTTGATATTGAACTCGCTTGGAACAAATCGTTTGACAGTCCCTGACATTGCGGAACCGCGAATGAGATTGATCTGTGCGTCAGCAGCTCCAATCCAATGGAGGTTCAATACGGAGACGACGGTGTCTACTCCAAGCCTTTGAAGAGTGTCGCTGATCTCTGAAGCAGACTCATAGCTGATCTTGACGACGGGGGCGATGTGATGGTCTCTGGCCTAAGACGGGCGGGTAAGTCGATATGAACCGTCAACGCAATATGATCGCACAGAACATCCTTGATCTGAAACCACTGATACATTGGGCACTCACGCTGCGTGAAAGTATATGAACTTGATGTTTTCCTCGACTAACAATTGACTGGACAATGGTTCGGCCGAGATCGCCAAGGCCACCAGCTACTGCAACAATGCCCATGATGATGAGCTGAGGAGAGTTCTGTTCATCGACAGCAAAACATAATTACTTGGTGATTTATATAGAAAATTGGACTACGGATACATGGTTTGGAAGACAGTTGAGAGCGTCCGTGTCGATTATCCGAATCCCCGAGTCTCCGACAACTCATGAGGCTGCTCTATCATACGAATTTGATGATATGGTTCAAAGCATGGAGAGTCCTCCATTCACTGCAATACATTGGCCGTTTATCCATCTTGAATTCTCCTCTGCCAGCCAAGCCACAGTCCAAGCGATGTCTCCCGGGTCCGCCACCGCCCCTTCACAGGGAGTTTCCCTCGAGAAGCCAGCCAGTATGGTATCAAGGTGTTCCGCGGCGCCCTTTCGAAAGGTTTCTGTATTGACAGGACCGGGCGCAACGCAGTTTACTGTGCATCCGTATTTGGGAGGCAACTCCTTCGCCCACACCTTCACCATAGAATCCAAAGCGCCTTTCGATGCTGAATACGCAAGAAGTTCCGGTTGAGGCAATCGACTTGATCCAGAGCCAATACAAATGATTCGGGCCCCTTTTTTGTTCCCCGAGAGCCGTGACTTTGTTGTCGGATCGTATGGTGTCAAATGTGGCAGGGCAGCCTTGGTAAGGAGAAATGTGCCGCGAGCGTTGAGGCGGAAGGTCTCATCCCAGGTCTCGACAACTAAGTCCCAGGTTGGGAAATGAGGTACGATGGCGGCGTTATTGACCAGAATGTCAATGACACCGAATCGGCCCACGGCTGCTCGGATCAAAGCTTCCGGCCCTTCCTTTGTCGATAAGTCGGCGCACACAGCGATCCAAGGCGATTTACATCGCTGTCCCACTTCGACACACGCAGTATCTTCCCCTGCATGTGGGTAGTTCAAAACTATGGACGCTCCCCTTGCAGAAAGTTCGATTGCAATTGATGCACCGATACCAGCCGAAGAGCCGGAGATCACAGCCGTCTTGCCAGCGAGACTTCCCGGAGTCGTCAGCATATTTGCGGGATTAGATGGGGGTAAATCATCCTGGTCGTTTGATGACCAAATATTGGCCCCTTTTCTTATGTCGAGTGTGGGATCCTTTTGACCACCCGACACAAGCTCCAAAGTTCGGCATCAAGTCTCCGACGTCGTTAGCTTCGGAGGACGTCCCGCGTGGTAAAGGTCCCTTGCATCGGATCTTTGCATCCACACCCCGCCGTCAATCACGGGTCTCCCGGAATTTTATGCCGAATGTGGAGGATCGGCAGTACGTATGTACCTTCGCTCAACACCAATGCGGCCAGAGTAAACTCAAGGAAGGGTGTGGTAAATGCCATTCAATCAGAAACCACACAAATACGGCGACAAGCTGATATCCCTTCGATCGAAAGGCAACATATCCCCAAGAGACAGATTTGCCAACATCCGTTTCTCCTGTCCGAATCAATTTTTTGCGTCTTTCTAACACACGATGATGATTATCTGCGATATATTATCTGTCACGCCACGTGCAGGGTTGGCGGCAATTGTTCTAGCAATCTACGTCGCAGTCTCATTGCTCCGATGGGCCTGCTCGCCAAAACCAAAGGTGCGAATCCTCATGGCCGATACTATAAAAAGTTCGCGATCTCGGGCCTTGGAGTACTGCTATCACCCCCGCGAAGTGGCTTGGAAGGGATATGAGCAGGTAAGATACTACAGCTTGAGCATCATAGCCATTCAAAACTGAAAGTCGTAGTTTCGAGATACAACATACGGCATGGATACTAGAGACGGTTAGTTCCATGAAAATCGTCAAGAGCCTAGCTAATTTTGTTTAGGAATCAAGGTGGTTATTCCACCCGAGTTTCTCGATGGCCTCAAAAGTCATCCTCATCTTAGCTTCAAAGCCTCAATAGATAACGTGAGTAGAGTTTGGCCTTGTAGGCTCACAGTGAGACCTCACACTTGGAACAGGACATGCAAAAAGAGTACACAAACTTCGGAGGACCTCCCGAATTCTTGATTCATGCCATCAAAAGCGGCATGACGGCTTCCTTGCGTGAGTAAAAAGCTGCAGGATATTTGGTAAACATGAATTACTAAAGATAGAAAGCTCATTTGACACCTCTGCTGCACAGAATAGTAAAAGAAAACATGGGGCGAATCTTTGGCTACCACACTGGTATGTACGACGTTTCCGGTGACCTAGCATCTGAATTGTGCGGCCAGGCTGAGTCTGGAAAACTGACGGATCAATCTTAGAATGGAAACGAACAAAAGTTCACGATCAGATGTTGCAAATCGTAGGCCGTAACGATGCCCGTGTCTTTCTCAGCACTGAAGTCAGTCAAAACGATGACTGGATCCGCTATTCTACGGGTTACGTACTATCCACCTTCGACTGCATCCGTAAGATCAAGCAATGGCACCCAATGCTGCGGCCAATGGTTTACTGGTTCCTACCCGAAAGAAAAGAGATCAATTCGCAATGGGCCTGCGCCAAGAAACATGTCAAGAAGGCCATGGAAGCCCGCCAGCACAAGGGCGACAGCCTCGAGAATCCACCTTCCATGCTGGACCTTCTTAGCTCTGGCAAAAACAGCCATCTTGCCACGAGAATGGATGACCAAGTCCTCTACCAAATGACACTGATAGCGGTTGGGACGGTCACAACTCATGCATCCATTGTCCAGGCCGTCTATGACCTGGCCACCTATCCCGAATACATTCCGATTCTGAGAGAAGAGATTCAGTCGGTGTCTCGAGATCATGATGGGTTCTTCACGAAAGATGCTGTTATGGCGTTGAAGAAGTTGGACAGTTTCATGAAAGAAAGTCAAAGACTATCTGCAGGTGATCTGAGTAATGACTTCCTGTCGCGTCATGTGATGAACGTAGTAGCTGATACGCTGTTCCTAGGCACATTTCAGCGAGAAGCTACGGCAGATCTTACACTTCCAGACGGAACCTTTATACCTAAGGGCACGAAAATCGAAGTAAACACAGCATCCATACATGTTGACGAGGCCTACTACCCCGACCCTCAGAGGTTTGATGGACTGCGATACTATAGGCTACGTCAGAGACCGGGCGACGAGAACAAGCACATGTATTACAGTGTTGGAAAGAACGACCTATCGTTCGGCTTTGGAAGACATGCTTGCCCTGGTAGGTATCTGGGACACCTCAACATCAAGCTAGTGATGGCAGAACTGTTGATGGAGTACGATGTTCAGACTACTTTGAAAAGTGGCCGGCCGAAGAATGTCGAGTTTGAGGCACTTGTGGCCCCTGATCCGGACTTTGAAATTCTTCTCAAAAGTCGACGTCATAGCTAGGGTAGACAAACAGCTACTCCGTATCGAAATCAGTACTTTGTCTGAGTTTTAGTACACATGCTGCTGATTGTGGCCCAAACTAAAGAAAGCGGCTCGGGATTGAAAAGGGTATATGAAATTTGACGCTTTTGAAATCTGCCGTTGCTGGGCTCCAAAAAGACCACTACTTTTCCTCTTCCATTTGACATAATATTCCTTACGACTACACAGAATGTTTCGTAAACAATTCCCTCTTGAAATCTTACATTTGTCTTCGTTGCGAGGGGTCGTTTACCATAGCATGCATTGGGAAACGCCTATCCGCCATCACCGAAGACCTAACTCTTGATTTTTCTGAGTGTTGTGATCTACGCCGAGGTTGGTTCATCGTTTCGTGTTCTCACCTATCTAGGATCTTTTCCAAACTAGAAACCATAGAGGGGCACGGCGAGGTACTGCAGTAGGAGAGGCGTGGGTGGGGCTTGATCCTTCGGATTCCGATTTTCCATGCGACCTTTTCGATAAGCCCGCTTTACCCTCGGGAACCTGGAACCCGGCCGGAATCCGACCACGCGAAATTTCCCAATTGGTTGTAAATGCCGTCTGTGATTGCTCTGAAGTCACCGCTTGCAAAATTGCCTGATCCATACTGAGGCTCTCATGACTTATCAAAGCAGATTTCGAGTGAGTGTTTGTAGAGCACTTAGACTGGATGCTGAGTGCTATCTAGCCAAAGATCATAACACATGCGCGGACAAGTTTGTATTCATATGACTTGATCTTTTGCATTTATTCCTTCCAGTTGATGGCGCTCATATTCAAGATTATTCCTATTACCCAGCACTTAGATCACATTTTTGTATCGCATCCCACAACCTCATGATGACTACGGTAACTGATAAACACATTTTTTGCGTGATCGTGGGTGCCGGCATGTGTGGAGTCGCCCTAGGAGATCGTCTAATTCAGACTGGCACTTTGAGGCACAACGAATTCATCATCATTGACAAGAACTCCGACTTTGGAGGAGTGTGGAAGATGAACAAGTATCCGGGCGCTGTTTGTGACATTCCCAGCCATGCTTACGTGATGAGATGCTTTCTCAACCCAGGTAGGTTCTTTGGCGTCCCAAACCATCTAATCATTCGATCATGGTAATAATGCTTGAAAAAAAGGTTGGACGAAGAAGTTTGCGGAGGGGAGGGAGATCCAACAGTACTACGTTGATTTCGCCCGCAGAAACCATCTCGAACGGAGCACTGTTTTCAACACTGTTGTGCACGAGGCAAGATGGAACACATCAGATCGACTATGGGAAGTTCTCGTCGAGGACGTGTTAACAGGTGACAAAACACGCTGGATTGCGAACGTAATTTACGATAACGGTGGGGGCTGTCATCGCCCAAAGTACGCCAACATTCCGGGTATCGACAATTTCCAAGGCGAGCAGTGGCACACTGCTGAGTGGCCCAAGGACAAAAGCCTCACAGGAAAGCGGGTAGGTCTGATAGGTACGGGCCCCAGCGCAGCCCAAGTCGCACCCAATATACAGCCCGATGTCGAGAAGCTGTACGTTTTCCAAAGGAGCTGTGGTCATGTTCTTCCCCGCAACAACCATGCGATTCCGCCGTGGAAGAAGCTGTTGTTCAAGATCTGCTATCCTTTGCTGTGGCTATATCACGTTAGCTGGTTCATTTTCGTGAGTCTCAAAACGATATGACAGTACGCTGAATCTCCATGCTGACCTTCTCAACAGTTCGACCAAACCAAGGGCATGTGGATCAACGGGACCAAGAAAAATCGTTCCATGCACGACGCTTGTCTCTCATTTTTGGAGAGGGAAGTTGAAGACCCGAAAACACGAGAAAAGCTTCGACCCAAGAATGACTTTGGGTGCAAGAGGGTTTTATTTCTGGATGACTGGTATTCTCTATTCAACAAAGATAACGTGGAATTGGTCACCGAGAAGCCCATCAGGATCACTGCAACCTCCATAGTATCGAAGACTCCGCAGTCACTGTCAGACGAAGAACGAGCTGCTGGACCTACCGGATCATACCTTGAGACACAGGAAGAGGATCGTACTGGAGAAGCCACTCGCGAGATCGATGTACTCATCTGGGGGACTGGATTCGACATGAACGATTCGGGTGGCCACTTTCAGATCTATGGAGGAGACGGAAAATCTCTGTCTCAAAAATGGAGAGACTATCCTGAGACATATTGGAGTCAGTGTCAAGACGCCTTTGAGATCTGTTCTGGTCGCTGATGATTTCATCTCAGGTGTTGGTGTTTCAGGATTCCCAAACCTGTTCCTCACTTTGGGACCCAATTCTACTAACTACTGGTCAAACATCACCACAGTGGTTGAGATACAATGCAAATGGCATTGTAAAGTTCTGAGGGAGATTAGGCACCGATCTCAACACATGCCATACGCGATCCACCCCGAGCCAGGAGTACAGAAGAGATACAATGACTGGCTTCGAGAAAATCGTGGCAATCCAACGTTTCTATCGTCCAGCTGTGCAACTTACCACAAGGTTATTGATTCCCTGGTCGCTTTTCAATCGTGAGCTAACCTTGTATTATCTTTCCAGACACCTTCGGGCGCGACACCAATGTACAATCATTATCGCATCTGGGAATATTGGTGGAAGATGAGGAATCCAAAAGTGGAAGACTTTGTTGTAGTCTGTGGGAAACAGTAACGTCCTGGAGCTGAATAATGCGGAGTCATCTTCAATGAAAATTTTGAACCCTTTTGTCGAGAACCTACGACATTTGGAGAGAAATTCGTCGAGGCATCAGTGCCCAAGTTGTCCGTGGCAAGGCTATAAATGTGGACTTCGGTGCCGTGCGATGGGGCCATAGAGACATGGATACAACAATCTGCAACCTCTAGGGTGCGGGGAGCGCATATTTTGGGCAACTTGGCTTGCGTTAGGTTCGATTACCTAGAGAAAGCTTATTCATATTATTTGATTTTCTGCCTCGAACCTCCTGACTGCGATCCCCCAATGGACCTTCCATAGACAATCAGAAAACGCTACACATCGAGTCCTCCTAACCATCGCTCCAAGCCTGACATTGGCCCCGGGAAAGGAAGGGAAAAAGCAGTGACCTAGGCGACAAGATAGTTGCGAGTGAACGAAGAATCGACAAGACCAAAGCAAAGGTTCGAAGCAAAGACAGATACCGAGCACACCAATCACCAGCAGCACGAGATTAAAAGTTATGAAGAGGGTCACCGATCAGGCCAGAGAGTTTGCCGACGTCAACGCCACTGTACTGTTTGAAAATACCGCCGCCAAAACCAGCCAATGCAGAGCCCACAGTAGACTGAAGGCTTGCGACGTAGCGCCACTATGAATAAATATCAGCTCGTGCCCGTTAGCAAGTCGAGAAACCTACTTGGAACGCTGTTATGCCCTTGTCATGATACGCCAACCACCGGGAGGTCTGGTCGGAGTTCTGGCCGTACTGAAATGAATCATCGACAATGACGGTGTAATCCCCGTCGTCGGCATTCCTGGAAAAAAAGCTGAAGATGTAACTGAACCAACCGGCCGAGGATCGGATGTTCTTATTCTTGAAAGAGTCAAGATAACTTGTCTGGATGAAGAGGACGCTCTGTTCATCTCCTGTTGTGGAGTTAGCCGGGGCATCATAAGCATGAAGCTGTCGCAGAGACTCAAGAGAGCTCTCACCTTTGTCTTTGTTGAAGAAAGGAACAGAGTAGTAGTCTTGGGAATGCATCTTGAGACTCTGCTGCCATTCGACCGTGACCTTTTTGCTAGTGATCTCGCTGGCGGGGACGTGGATTCTGTTGCCCTTTTCGACGACCATTTTGGAGAGATTTGATTGATGTGTCTTGCTATGAATCTTAGTGAAGAATTTGGAAGGGTTTACTTTAGAGAGGCAAATGCAATCGCGGTATTCCTTCGCGGGATAAATGCTCTTTATTAGACCTCGCGTCTCTGATCGACATGGGGCTGCCCCTCATCTCGAGGAGAATTCACAGAACCACTTCGTAGGTTCGAAACCTTACACCAAGCTTTCCCTTGGACCCCTTCTTTGAGACCCAAATGTCGCGATACTTGGGATAGCGTGTTCCTCATTTATTTCATTCCGTCGGCTATTGGACGCGACTGTCAATTGAATCTAGATTGAGATGGCCTCTTCACAGCGCAGCCCCGTGCAATATCTATAAATTGCGCCTCAACGCGATGTTTACGAGCTGCATCGTCACATAGAACATTGCTTCCGCTAAAGAGCAAGGGGGTATGTCGATATGATGTCACTCATCAAATTTCACGAATTAGAATTAGAATAGGAAAAAGCCCGAAAAGATGGATGGATGAAGCTTTGTCCAAGTCCCTGAGTTCAAATCTGACAAGCCTCCACAACCCTCGGTCTCTTCCGGTCACTCTTTACCCCGCCTTTGCAGTGGTCTAGACCAAACGTCAGGGTTCAACCCAGGCTGTCACGATCTGCGGCGAGCGTCTCGCCCGATCTTTCTCAGCCCAGAACATCCAGTTGCGGGGGAGACACCACCATCCCAGACACCCAAGGTGAAGGGTTTCATGATATCCTTTTGCATGTGCATCTCTGAACTGCTTTCACCGTCTCGCCGATCCATAGTATCAATACTTGACTTGCGTGTCTAGATGCTCCCGTCACTGCCGGAGGGCTGGAAGCCTTTTGCCAATCCTAACGGGTACCCCGCCGACACTTCGGCATCCCTACGCAACAATTGGCCCTACTGATCAGGCCCGGCTGGACCATCAGGCTTAATAAGTTCCGCAAATTCTCAATCAGGTGTCGCTGGACGGACTGGATGGCCGGATGAAGAGATCTTCTGGCTCGTGGAGTATTCTGAGGATGGCATCCTAGTCTATGCTCTGAATTACGAGATAACGCGTTGAACTGCTGTCTGGAGGCTGGGCAGTCTTGTCAACTATACATGTACCGTAGGATGTCGAACTTCATTTGGAGCCTTTTCCCGATCCTTGCTGCAGACAGATAAGGCATGGCATGAAGGGGGCGCCTGTCGACAGGTCAATGAGCATTAAGAAAAATGGCTACCTATTTTTACCCGCGGCCGACGGCGAGACCACAGGCATCCCACCTCTCCAATGAGAGGCGCCGTTGAAGTGTCGCCGTGTAGAGAGCAAGACAAATATGATGTCGGAATATGACTCGTGTATGATGTGTCATATCTTCGTAGGCATCCAGACTCGTAGCTAGGTACTGCCAGGTGGCCAAAATATCTTCCCAGGTGATTTTACCAGCTTTCCCCCTTTCCAAACGTATCTAACATTGTCGCGGTCTACAAAAAGCTTCATGTTCTCCAGGGGATCAGCATCAAAAGCAATGAGATCAGCGTCCCATCCTAATTTCACAAGTCCCTTCTTTGGTGTGAAAGCCCCAAGTGTCTCCGCAGCATTAATGGTGGCAGCTTCGATGGCTTGTAGTGGAGTTAAGCCGGCCTTCGTTGCTAAATAGACTTCTTCACAGCTGTGCCCAGGGGATAGAAGGTCCCGAGGGTCGCTGGAGCAAATGTCGGTTCCGAGAGCAATCTTTACCCCCACATTGACCGCTGTACGGTAGGCCTTGTGGGCTATGCTGGCTATGTGCTTCAGTTTCGCCGCTGTCTCAGGGGGCATGCGATCGAGCTTCTTGAGACCGGCATGAGTGATGTAGGCGGTGGCTACCAGAGTCACACCGTGCTTAACCATCAACTGGGCAACTTCCTCGTCAATGTAGCTTCCGTGCTCGATAGTCCGAACTCCAGCCTTCACCGCAGCGATGATGCCTTGCTTGCCATGGGCATGGGCAGCAACAGTCCTCCCTTGCATTGCAGCCTCGTTCACAATAACCCGAAGCTCTTCGTCAGAGTAAGACCGAAAGCTGGGGTCTTCGTTGACACTCATCACGCTGCCAGTGGCTAGCACCTTAATGACAGTCGCCCCACGACGGATCTGCTGGCGGACAGCCTTTCGGCACTCTTCAACACCATCTGCCAACGCGAAAATGGATTGGCCAGGCCAAAGTCGTTGACCGGCATTATCCGTACCTTGCCGCGACCACACCGTATCGAGAGGTAGAGTGACAGCATCGCAACCCCCGCCCGTCATACCGAGGGCAGCGCCGGCGCCATAAACAGTTGGTCCCATGATGTAACCAGCTTTGACGGCAGCGTACGCTTCGAGGCCGTAACCGGAGAGCTCCTTCACGCTGGTGACGCCGGACATGAGAGTATCGTAGAAGCCGCGGGCGATGGCCGCGCCAGCCGCAGCGGGATGATTGAGGATTATCTCGGGATAGTCGACTTTGCCAATGCCACAGTAGTGTATGTGGCAATCCCAGAGACCGGACATAAGACAGGCGACGTGGGTTCTGGGGGCAGCCGCAAGCTCATCGTCAATGTCGGCTTGTTTGCCAACATAGGTGATGGTGCCTGACTTGATCGATATTCCTACGGCTGCTTGATAGATGGGGTCGCCGCGGCCTGGAATAAGCTGGTAGGCGAAGATACATGACAGGTCGCTATCCTCCGGCTTTGAACGCTGCGCGGGTTCCAGTTTAGAAGACGAAACGATATGCCATTCGTCTTCATTAGAGGTCGAACATGCCGTCGCCTTTTGGGCTGTCTGTTCGGATACGTCGAGAAAGAACTCTGAACAGTGAGCGCAAGCCATAGCTTGAGAAGTGCCCGTTTAGGTGAGAATTTGTGTAGTGGGCGACGAAAGAACCTTAACGTCAATCAAAAGCCTGGAGTCCACAAGATAGCCTGTCGTCAAAAAAGGTGTCCTCAGTATCAAGAGACGTGGGGGTAAGTGATTATCAAGAATGGTCCCCCACAACACCATGATAAGCTATCACTTATGCGGGAGCGCAGCCGTTGACTCGATCTAGTAATTGGATCGCGGGTACTTCTTGTTGATTGGTCGACATCACCCCTCAGTTGAATCGCTTGTCCACGTTGTAACCAGGGCCAGAATACTTGGGGGAAATCTTGACAATGCAGTTGAACCAATTTCTATTTGTCAAGCAACAATGGCTCCAATCTCCGACGTATTATCCCAACGTGCCACCAAAAGCTTCACCCTAGGCGAAGGGGCAGATTACTTCTGGGAAGTGAAGAAACTGCCACAGTACGACGCAGAAAGCAGACCAGATGGGTTCATTGATCTTTCTGGGTCTGTGAACAACCTTATGCGCGACTGGATGAAAGAATACGCCGACGGAGCGATCCGCGGTATGGATGCTCATTCCCTGCTGAACTACGGCCCCCTTCATGGTTCAAAAGACGTTCGGCACGGTGTTGCCAACATGTACAACAAATTCTTCAGCCCAAAATTTCCCATCGAGGCCACGAATGTTTTCGCAACCAATGGCGTGAGCTCAGCAATCGACATGCTCGCTTGGGTTCTTGCAGACCCAGGTGACACAATATTGATACCAGTTCCGACATTCTTCATGCTGGACTTCGACTTGGCAGTGCGGAATGGAATCAAGGTAGTCAAAGTCGCCACAGACCACCTCGAAGATCCTTTTGGTCCCGCTTCTGCTAAAGAATTTGCCGAAGCCATTGCCATGGCAGCGGACGGTATCCACGGTAGTCGGGCACGTGCCGTGTTTCTCTGCAATCCCCAGAATCCCCAAGGCCGTTGCTACTCCAGCCAAACCCTCCGCGCCTTGGTCGAGACGTGCCGTCAACGGGGCTTGCAGCTAGTGGTTGATGAGATATACGGCCTGTCGCATTTTGGAAGCGAGCGGGAGCCTTTCACCTCAGTTCTGGGCGCCACAGATCAGAGATCAGATAACCATGTACACAGCCTCTGGGGCTTGAGCAAGGATTTGGGAATGGGCGGTCTGAGACTAGGATTTATTGTCTCTAGAAATGAATCATTGATAAAGGCTTTGGCTAGGATCTCGTGAGTCTCTTTCAACGAATCTCGAAGCTTGGTCCCTGGATGACGCATGTTAATGAATCTTGGCATATCATAGTTGGTTCACCTGGCCGACTTCGTTCTCCGATAGCTTTGCCGCTTGCCTGCTTCGAGACGAGGCGGCTTTTGAGAACTATGTACGCACATACCAAAGCCGGCTTGCAAAGGCCTATGAGAAGGTATCGGAAGCTCTCCTTCGACACCAGATTCCGTTTCAGCCGGCAACTGCGGGGTTGTTCATCTACATTGACCTTCGAAGGTGGATCAACCAATTTGAGGGCGCAGATGACCTCGAGTTGCAGTTGTGGAAACATCTTGTGGATTCAGGGGTTGGCGTCAATCCAGGAAAGGTAAGCTACAGAGTAAAATTGTTGAAATGAGTCAAGTGGCTAATCCGTACCTCAGTTCGCAGGCAGTACCAAAGCAGGCTTATTTCGGCTGGTATTTACCAAAGATGTTGAGGCCACTGTTGTCGCTATCGTGAGGATGGGCGTGGCACTTGTAAGGCTTGAAGCGAATGTCTGAAAGAAGCGGGACCATGTTTTTGGGAAGTAATTTTAAGCCATAAGCGAGAAAATGCCAGTTACACTTGAGAGATGATGTGTGAACATCCTTCGAGACCACAGTGAGGACGCATCGGTTATCACGCGAATATATGGGAACCTAATAGATTGCTAATGACAGGCTTGCAATGGCATATTGTTGACTTCAATGGGAAAGCCATATGATAGGTCTTCGCAAAGTACTATGCCTATTGACTATGGAAACGAAAATGCTACAATCGGCACTTGTCGTCGTCGAGATTAAATCCATCTCTTAACTGCCATGTCCATTCTGTAGCATTAGTATAAGACTGGACCACTTCGAAGCAAGGACCAAGGCTTCCCTCTGTTGGACGAATTACCGGGTCGCCTGACGCCAGAATTTTGTACTCATCAACGGCTGATGAACCAGCATACTTGGTGAGAAGATCAAAGTAGGCGTCTGTTGTACAGGAGGAGTCATCACCTCGACAGAGGTTCATCAACTCAACAACTACGTCGTCCAAACTCCGAGTATTGTTCCAGCGAGCGCGCACCTCAGCGTCAACATTGGCCAAGTAGATGAGACCGCGGCCATAGGGAACGGTTTGTGCCGTTGATACAGTCCAAGACTGATCCACCGCCTCTTGGTCGGTCAAGTTGATTGACGGGTTTTGGTAGTAGGCAATCGACTTGGTGTTCATTGCCGTCACGTACTCCAACGTGCTGAGCAGCCCCGCGCGCCACAGGTTGCGAAGTGAGTAAAATTCGGCAGTGCCCTCCGCATATCGGGTCTGGTCGGAAAGATTGCCGTTGTAGATGTAAGGCCAGTTGTGGGTGATCTCATGAGCGAGCAGTAGCTCAGTGTCATTGGTGGTGGTTTTGTTGCGATCGTGCCACCCGAACGTGAAGGAGTTGTAAAGGGCTGTGCCTCCTGTTCCAACGTTCTCATTGTATCGGATAAAGACTTTGTAAGGCTTGGTGCCATCATCTTGCCAGAACGTTGCCGAGTAATCGTAGAAGTCTTTGATGAATGATGCGAGGTAGGTTACGTCGAAAGGTGGCTGCTCAAGCCAGTACATGTTGAACTGGCTATCTTCTGATGCAGAGGAGCTTGAGAGGACGGGCCCGACAGCGAAAAACGTACTCAAAAGATCGTCTGTGGTTCCATTGATAGTGACGGGCTGAGGCCCCTCGCCCCAAGTCCAGACCCCTCTAGTCCCTGAGGGGGAGGCTGACAGGTCCCAGGACAGGGCAATTTGAAATTTAGTGGAAGCGTCATCGGGGGCAGGGACCAAAGCCCATATTGATCCGAGAATGCCACCAGCATTCTCTCTGATATCGAAAAGAGGACCCATTTTCGTCGTCTCGTTGACTTCACGGGGATGTGCGGTGAAGGAGATTGCGACAGGGGGGACAACGTCTCGGGTAGCGATCCAAAACCGGCTTGCCAGGCCAGAAGACCCGGTGGCATCGGTGGTGACGAGAGGAAGGTTTCCAGCACCATCGGTTGCGGTCAAAGACTCCGAATCGTACTGCGCAGACGGTTGGCCAGCAATAGTGAGCGCAAGGACAACCACTGTCTCGTTGTTCTTGAAAGAGATGTCCGTGGTGAGTTGACCACTCAGACTCTTCGTTCCATTACCAGGAGTCAAATTTGGAGTAAGGGTGATGTTGATGTACGGGAATATAGCTGCGGTTGCCTGATTGGCAAAGGCCAGGGCCAGGAAGATGCTTTTCATGGCTTGATGGTTAGCGAGAAGGGCGAAGTTGACGGGAGAGAAGCGAAGTGGTTCAACAAAGAGACTAAGTTGCCTGGATCTAATGAATCGAGAACATGATGAATAGTCACAGAATATCATGGACAGCCAGAGGAATAAATACGCCTCTGAGACTGCACGCAAATTCAGACATCATCGTTATTCTTCAGGAGCATTCCGGCACTCATAGCGCGACAAGGGTTGTTAAATGACGGTTCGTCATCGGTTGTGGAGACGCTTTAAACCCATTTCCTAATTCGGGCAACAAGAACGCGGTCTCGTCTGGCGATCGGGCTTAGCTTAGCTTTGCGAAGCAGCCAAGAGGACGTAAATATACATACAGTAGCTAGTAGCCATGTCAAGAAAATTTGATTCTCGATCGCTCAGTCATTCTTTATCAATATTCTTTTGCAATCCTGCACCGCCGACAAAGATGTCTCCTGGACGCGTGGGCTCCATGCTGGGATCCCTGCAAGATGGTCTCAACCGTCTTGCTTCTATCACGATAATCTTACATTCAGCTCAGCTAGCATTCCCGGTAACTTTGGCAGCATCTATCAGCAACAATGCATGGAGTTTGGTGGCTACTGGAGACCTTCTTGGAGACGTCGTCACCACAAATGATTCCCGAACTCATGTATTGTGGGACATCACACGATCGGCGGATTTCGCCTTCTTCAACATGGAGGGCCAACTTTTCCGTGACGCAGATTTCACTGGATATCCTTCCTCGGAGAACGGAGGCGACAATGACTATGGAAACGTTGGCGGCGGGCCAACCTATGATCCCAGTCAGGCGTTCCTCCTTGCAGGCCTTGGCTTCAACTTGGCCTCTCAAGCGAATAACCACGTCTGGGACTATGGATTCGACGGTTATCATGAAACAAAAAACAACTTAGAAGCCGCCAACATTACATCCGCTGGATCTGGAGCTAGTCTGGCGGAAGCTCGCAATGCCTCTTTCGTCCAGCGCGGTAATACGCGCCTTTCTCTCATCTGTGCCGCCGGGACCCACACCCCCGAATCGGTCGCTGGCGCCGGGGAGCCCTCGGACAACCTTGCCCCGCGACCTGGTGTCAGTGCTCTTCGCACATCGCTGACCACAGTTGTTGATGGCGAGGCCTTTTCCAACATTCTTCGTATCGCTCGTGCCCAGGGACAATCGGATTTAACGGACGATGTCGCAGAAGTGACACTGTACACCGGCCAAAGCCCCATGTTCTGGTCTTCTTGGCGGCGTGCAGACTCCAATGAGACAACTCCCAAACTCGACTGGAACACCAACGAAGATGACTTCAACGGGATTATTTCTTCAATCCGGGAGGCAAAGGCCACTTCGGACGCCACCGTATTCTCACTCCACGCCCATGAGAGCGACTCGGGCGCATACGACTCAATCATCCCTCTCCCTCCTGCATCGACGGTACCCGCATCGTATATCACCAACATCAGTCGGTCCGCAATTGAGGCTGGAGCGGATGTGGTGCTCGTACATGGGCCGCATCATCTCAGGGGCATTGAGATATACCAGGGTCGCCCCATTTTCTACAGCCTCGGCTCTTTTACTTACAGCCTCGGGCTTCACTTTCGCGGGGTCTCGTTGCCAATCGAATGGGATGATGGTCTCATTGCCCATAGCGAGTTCGTCAACGGGACTGTCACTAAGGTCGCACTTTACCCTACAATACACAACCAACTCACCAACGACACATCGCTGGCTGACCGGACGATGCCAAAACTGGCACCCCCTGCCGAGGCCCAACGCATTTTGAACTATTTGCAAGAAGCCTCCAGACCATTCGGGACTCTGATAAGCATCAATGGGAGCACAGGCTATGTCCATGTATCTCCGTAGATGCGAAGTGAGAGTTGACAAACACGGGCGCGAATATGGGTGATCAGTTACATCTTTCCAATATTAAGATGTTTTCATTACTGCCAAATTCAAAACGTTGCATCCTTCGGCTGCGGCTGGACTCTAATTGAATCGCATTCGTTATTTTTGTTGTCTCCGCTGTCCTTGTCGTGACCAATTGTCTCTATTATTTGGGTGTCACTATTGGCGCTGGACGTTTTGTAAATTGTAATAAACCATTTTTCACCTGCACTGTAAAATATCGAATGATACATGGAAGAACTTTTATGTAGGGAGATAGCCTCAAATTCAACTCTAATGAGCTAGGATGTCATTTCAGAACATGAATCAGAGCTCAAATTATGCATCTACAGGAATGAGGTCGTTCAGATACCGACCATCGGCCTCTCTGCCACACAGAAGCACGTGCTGCCCACCGCCTTTGGAGAAAAGAACTTCGCGGGCTTCCCAGGCCGAATATGTAAAGGAGGCTGCAAATATTGCGCGGCCAGGTTTGGCAGCCATGTACCTGAGTATTGCCTGGCTGCAAGATCTGGCGGAGTGCAACGGCGTGAATGGACCCTCGTAAAGCACGCCGACAGCCATCGACCTCTGGATGAACTGCTGTAGGGCCTCAAAGCCGATCCTACCGGCCCCGAGGATGGAAACCTGAAACAAAACTGAGAAGATCCCGATTCTATACGTATTTCTCTTTTGACACTCAACTGGGTCGAGTTCGTCGGTGATCCGAAGTAACAAATTCAGCCATGGGTTGCTCCTCATGGGAGCGCAATCAAATGCGTCCGCTTTATTGTCCACAGCAATTCTTACCTCTTGTGTAAGTCTCTGAACGTTGCTCTCGGTACAGAGTAGCTGGGCGAATGCATAGTCAGCCCACGTCATGGCCATCTGATGAGTCGGAAGGCGGAGAGGCGCATAAGGTCTGGCGTAAAATGCTTCCGAGTCGGGTAAAAGAGCAGACAGTATCCCTTCCGGAGCTTCGCATCCAGCCAGGGTAGACTGGAGATTTCTGAGCTCTGTGAACAGCTCCTCATCTGGGAGCACAGTATCGGGCTCCGTCTGTTCGTCTGAAGGTTCTCCGAAGGAGGTACCCTTCAAGATTTCCCACCACTGCGTCACTTTACTCAATGTCTCCGCGGCTGAATCCCCCCTTTCATAGAAGCATTTCGAGAAGAGCAGCCGCTGACTGATCCTTGACGCCTGACATCCAATGACCTGGATCCTTTGTGCTGGATGTACCAAACTTGGTACAAGTTCCACGAGGAGTGACTCGTTGGCCGACTCGATCCCCAGAGGATGTTGAGGCCCTCGACAGACCAATTCAAGGTATCTGAGGTGTACCCAAATGCGTCCCAAGTCTTTGCCGGTAGTAAGCGAAAGGACCTGACTGCGATGATTGCGGATGCCATTGTCAAGCACCGCGAGAGCCCGCCTGAGATCGACAATCGTCCCAGTCTCTAGTTCGTACAGTGTAGCTAGAATCATGATGGTTAAACGAGCCTCCCATGACATGTCTGGATGCGTTTCAAGAATTTCTGAACATTTGCTGACATAGTTGAGTGTTCTAGACGAATGAATCGGTGCTAGTACCCATTGACTATGATCGGATGAGTGATGCCCATGTAGGTTGGCGAGACTGGCAGCCGCCAAAGCCATAGCTGCATATCGGAGAGGGGCGTTGTAGAGCATCATCTTCCACAGGTTGTCGAGGCGGACGGGAAGATTATTCATCACGTTCAACCTGAAGTGGGCTAGGTATGGCCTATCTTCAACGGGAATTGGAGCCGGCTTTCGCGTAGATGGCAATTCTGGTTGGTTCTCAAGGCCGGTCCAAGAAGCTGGAAGTAATCCACGTCGTAGAGTCCGATTTGCTGTGCAGTAGGGTGATTGATTCTCATGGCGGGAGGTTTCTGAGGCCAGAAGAGTTTCATCTGGTGGTGTAGGATTGTCCGGCGATGAGATCGTCGACGCAGAGCAGGAACCCTCGCCACGTTGGCTTGTGGGTGAAGTTGGGGACGGCAGCAAAGACGGCATCAATAAGTCCCACGGAAGGCATTGAGTATCCCCTGGCAATATTGGAGACACAGGTATGAAATCGGTCATTGACAACGTCAGAAGCTGTTCTGCGTCGAGGAAGAATTCGGGTGACAATTGATCCATTGAGTCGTCTCTACGCCATCCATGAATGTCGTAATTGGCGGCTGAGTTGATGTCTTCCTGTCGGTCACCGGACACCAATGATGTGTTGTGCTCATCAAATTCAAGGACTGGTGGGGTAGGCGGCAGTGGAGCAGTGCTTGTCTGCTGCCGTACCGCATCCGCTGTATCAAGCTGATTGACTGTGAATGTAGCTGGATGAATAGGATTTGACCGCTTGCGGTCTCGTGTCGCCAGCTTTCCAACAGCTTGATCTTTGGTTGAAGCAGAACTTCCAGCCATCTTCAAGCGGCGGACCTTGTTGGCAGCCCACTGTGTTGCGTCTTTGAACTCGAAGGCGCCAAACTCATAATCGCACGAACTTGATGATGCAGAACAACGCCGGCAAGCCGGTCTCTGTTCATCACACTACTTTCAATGAGCTTTGCATCACACCAATCCTGTCATCTCACTACAACGCACCTTTCTTCGCTTACGTCGGCACTGGAGACAACCCGTTTTCGTTCGAGTAATGTCTGTTTTCTTAGGTCTAGCCGGTGCGGGATCGTACATAATGACGGAAGGGTGCCAAGCTGGGCGAGTGATGGTCCAGGAGTGTGACAGATGACCAGAGTCTTCATACACATTTACGCGAAGACACAAAATTGCTCAGAGATGTAGCTGTAGGCGAATCCAAGGTTCATGATGAATCACAGACCAACATAGCCATCTCAACAGCGATAAGAGTTCGGCCGCGAACCTGGCACTGCCCAGATAGGAGTATTGTGAATGCGGGGAAACAACTGATTCTACATTGTTTGTTTGCCTCCCCGGAGCTACCCTGCCCCCTGGTTTGGAATCCCCACTTTCAGCGGATATCCTTGCAGTACATGGCGTGCGGAATTGAGTCGCAAAACATGGAATACCGGCAAAGACCAAAATCGAAAACCTCGACACTAAGAGGCATAGTTCTAGGCAAACATCCGGGCTGGATCCATGTCCTCCGATATGCGATAGATAAAATGGCAAAAACGCGGAAACGGTCACCGTTACTTGGGCCGCGAATAACCTTACATGGATGTGACAACGCGTGTTCGAGTTGGCGATCTAACCCAATCGGGTCAACGAGAACGCACGGCGAAGAACACCGTGTAAGCCAACTGATCACCCCAAGCTGTTATCATGCTGCCGTGAAAACCGGTATCCTAAATTCAGTTGGTTTCTCTTAGCGCACACTCGGACTGGCTATCATAAACCTGGGACGCACATAGCTTATCTTATTGCCGTCAAATCGCCCATGCAGATGCGTTGATAGCCACAAGATCCTTTCCAGAACGGCATGACGCAAGTACGCAGCGTTGTTGTTGACTCCAACGGGAAGTCAGGAGCCAAAGTACAGTCGTTGCCGCAATGCAGAACTTATCACGGGGTTTGGTTGGCCTCACCAGCTTATCATGCCGCCTGCGAGATAACGATGTAGGGCACTGGTCGATAATAATACACTTGATGCACCGGCTCTCATTGAGCATGATTGTGAATCTTTTGAGTATCATCGTGACTGTGCATAAGACGCCCACATCTGTAAAAGTAATCTTCTCAAAAGGTATTACGGATTGGTATCAAACCCTGTAGGCAACCCATTACTCTCGACTGTCATATGCGCTATGATGGCAAGCAACTCTCAAAGCCCCAATATGCGTTCCAACTCAGGAGTTAAATTTGAGAGCCAGCTCGACGGCACTGGGTTCAAGGATGATGGAGAACGAAAGAAAGAGACCAATATTGAGAAAGCCGAGAGCGTCATTGAAGGCGTCACAGAGGAGCAGGATCAGTTCAAACCTCTTCCTGGAGTGAAGCCCTACGATGGAAGAAGAATCTTGACGGTGCGTGCCGTCGCGACAGGCGTATTCTTGGGCTCGGTCATTAACTGCTCAAACCTTTATCTTGGTTCGTGACCAACATGGAATTTCCAGCCTCAGAGAAACCGCACTAATCATGATCCCCGGAGCTCGCAGGTCTAATGACCGGATTTGGCGCTGATGCCACTTTATTTGCGTCCATTTTCGGCTACGCTATTTGCAAAGCTCTGGAAAAGTCAAAGGTACGATGAGCTTTCACCCATGTGGCCGGCCATGTAATTTCCAGCTAACCAAGCTTTACCCATGAACTAGATTCCCTTCTTGAGCGGTGATTTCGGGCCTCATGAGAACAACATCATTCAAGCCGCCGCCCTAGGATGCATCGGCATTGGCTTCATGTTCATGAGCGGTGTCCCTGCCATGTACCAACTACATCTCCTGGGGCCGACCCCGCAGTCGGACTTTGGAAAAATGATTTGCTTCGCCCTTGTTGCAGGATTCTGGGGACTTGGGTTTACCGTGCCGCTGCGCAACTTATTCATCCTCCGCCTTGCACGTCAACTCAGCCTGTACTTCCCGCTTGGAACGGCGTCTGCGATCACGATTCAGACGCTGCATTCGATCGAAGGCAGCACAGGACAGGCACGACAACACGTCAAGGCCATCAGCATGTCCTTCGTCTTCTCGCTGATTTGGTCTGTGGCTACTTCATATGCGCCTGGTATTTTTTACACCTGGAATCCCTTGTGGTGGATTTTCAAATGGGGAGGACGGTCTGTCATTTCTGCCATCAGCTGGGGCTGGTTCTCGTGGTCGTGGTCACCCTCCATGATCGGGATAGGTGCCCTCATTGACTTGAACGCGGCACTATCATATTTACTGGGAACTGTACTCGCCTGGGGAGTGGTGGGCCCGATCATTGTCCACAAAGGCGCTGCCGTTGGCATACCCTATGTACCTGACTATCCCGAGCTTCTCACATACAACGCTTTCATTCCGACTCAGTTCAGCACCACCCCCTCCCCACGTTACTGGATGCTTTGGCCCGCGACATTCATGATGCTTGGCGTCTCTCTCACGACAATTCTCCTCGAGGCAAAGAACTTTGCACGGATGGCGAAGTACGGTATATTGAATGTCCAAGCCAAGTTCACTCGGCGAAGAGACGCAAGTGCAGGTTCAGTGATGGTTCTGAAGAAAGGGGATATCGCCGGCGAGATCCCAGATCCTGTCGCTCCCGCATATCAAGTGCGATGGTGGGAGTGGTCATCATTGACACTTGTCTCCGTCATCTTTTCCCTTGTGGCTCTCAAATACGTTTTCGGTATCCCGCCAGCGCTGAACTTACTCAATCTTGCTCTCGGCTTCATGTGGTCTTTTGTCGTCATTCAGGTTTATGGCGCCTCGGGTACAACACCCATCACAACCGTTGCGAAGGGCTCTCAATTCATCACAGGTGGCATCCTGCGCCACGAGATCCACCAACGAGGCTATGAATCAGTAGCTCGGATCAACCTCGCAGGATGTGTCATAAGCTCGGCGGCTGCTCAGCAGGCAGGTGAGTTATGTCAAGACTTCCGCACTGGCTTCTTGCTCGGCACTCCGGCACGACCCCAATGGCATGCGCAGATGATTGGCACTTTCGTCGCTGTGTTCCTGTCGCCAGCGATCTTCCTCTTATTTGCAAAGGCATTCCCATGCATTCTCGATGCCGAGGCAACGACCTGCCAGTTCACCCTTCCAGCGGTTACATCCTGGCGCGTCGTCACTCAGGCAATCTTCATGGACACCTTTCCCATATCTCAGTCCAGCTGGATCTTTTCTATATTGATGACGCTTCTTGGGATGGGGAGTGTTGCCCTGAAGCGATATCTTGTCGGTCACAAAAGCCTGAGCGCTTTTCAAGTTTGGGTTCCGAACATGTCACTTGTGGGTTTGGCGATGACCATTCCAGGGTCCTCAGTGACTTTGACGGTCACTATCGGAGCTGTGGCTGCACATCTGTGGAAGCGATACTCCCCAAGAACGCATGAGAGATTTCTTTACGCTGTTGCGGCAGGTGGAGTGGCTGGTGAGGGCGTTGGGTATGTTGTGCTGAGCATTCTTCAGATTGCTGGGGTGGCCGGCGTGGGAACGTCGTTAGGATGTGTGGCTGAGATTTGCTGAAGGATACTTGCCAGGTCTAACTCATGGAAAGCCTCACATTTTGGACTCAATGAAACTGGATGTTTGGTCATGTCGTTGTGTTTTCTTCTTACATAGGTACCTTGCTGCTATCCAAATGAGAGTTCCCCTTCTTGTGCTTTGAAAAGGAGTTTGAAAGCTGAGTGTTACGCGAAGAAGTCACACAAACTAAGAAGGATCCTTAGCCTCTTTTGTGCAGAGTATTCATCTGTGACAAGAGAACAATAATCCGTGACTGGGACACCTTCTATCTTCCCTAGATTTGAAGCCACTTTCGCACCACCGCGCCCACAGCCTCTGGCTGATTAAACGGCGCAAAGTGCCCTGCTTCATCTACAGTGTACAGAGAAAGCCGATCATTGCCCTTGAATGTTCCGCCTCTTAATGCATCCACATTTGCGTTAGAGGACACCAAATCCCCCTCTCGATAATGCCAATCGCTGAAGCTCTCCGCACGAAATGAGGCCTGTCCTTTCCAAGGCTGCTCATCCAGCATGCGAATCTGACCCGGCGTATTACTGTTCGGAGAGGAAAATATCAGCGCCAGCCGCATATGATTTGAGAGAAAGAGTTGAAGGATGTGGCTCACATGATGATATCATTGTTGCCATTGATGAAAAGGATCCGGATTTCGGTGTTGTCCAGCAGCCATGTCAGTTCCTTAGTAACGGGAAGAAACACATTCTTTGCTTCAGTCCACCTGCTATTGGTGTCAAAGTCGATAAGCTCGAATGACGTGTTCGGGAAACCGAGCATGTCCTGTACCCAGGGCCGATTGAAGAACTCAAAGGTTGCGTCTTTGCCGAAATCTGAGCATAGAGGGGGCTTTTGGCATTTCAGACGACCTGGAAAAGAAGTCAGTAACCATTCCAACAGCCTGCATCTGAGATGGATGCATGATGATTTAGCCAATATTGAGCAGAGGGACATCCTTCAAGAACGCTGGATGAAACCCGACTTACTGTCGTACGGGTTCCAACCTCCAGGTCTGACATCCGCAGCATAGGGCGCGCCCACAGTCTCGTCACAAGACATAGCTGCCGCGAGGCAAACCTCCTTATCATATGTCTCACGGCAGTGCTGTCCGAGATTTTCGCAGTGAGGCACTGCAGCTGCCATTGAGTCGCACGCCGTGCTGTTCATGAGTGGCGCCGTACGGCCGTCTTGGCGCCAGTCAGAACAGAAAAAGTCATAGTACCCTACAGTCTGTCGAGTGTTATCTACATAGCCATCTACTATGACAGCAGATACGATATTCAGCGGCTCATACGTCTCACTGCTTTTTCCAGAGTTGCCGATCTCTCTTTCCGAGCGCATGATGTGATGCGTGTAGCCAGTGACGTAGTGGCCTCCCATGGATTCGCCAGCAATGTGTAACGGTCGCCCATTGATGTCAGGGAATACGTCATCGGTGAAGACTTTGAGAAACTTGTGAATATCGCGGCCACCCTCCTCGAGGCTCACAGGGATATGACTGCGGTTGGTAATGTGTGAGAAGCCAACTCCAGCCGGTTGGCTAGAGGAGAAGTAGGTTTGTCAGTGGGAGTTCAGGTGAGGGAGAACTGGTGACTTACTCGACGACGACAACATTTGCGTGGTCGATCCACGAGTATTCCAGAGTCTTTGTAGAATTTCCATCCTCGTTGACGACACACGGGCCGATACCTTTGAAAAGCCCTAGTTCTCCCGTTGCTCCCGGGCCGCTAAGGGGATGTGAGCCTTCGCTTTTCGGGAGTTTTCAATGACGTACCCGCTCATCCAAAGTACCAAGGGGGCATTTTCAGGATCATGCCGACTCTCAAAGTACCCTACGCAATATCATTAGTTTGGATCAAAAGTGATACCAGTCTCTTGTCGTGTTGAAACGTTTCTACTCACAGAAGAAAATGGATTTATGATCGGCTACATTGACAACACCGGTCCAGTATTGTGAACCTGCATCACAAAGTTCTTTGGGTTGTTTTCGTAAGGTGAACGGTGCGGGCCGTTCTTCAGCTAGCACCGGCGGCCGGGCCCCACCAAGTGTTTTCTGTTCGCCGGAGCCGGAGCCGGGGCTGGGGCCGGGATACAAATCGAGCGCGCTAGCTGTGGCGGCTGCGACGAGAGCGCAGCATAGGGCCAGCAAAGGCATTGTAGTAATGCTGCAAGAGATAACCAGGTATGGCAACACAGCAGAAGATGGAAGAAATCCTTAATGAATAATGATAGGACGTCTGTGGTATTGAAGAAACCGCCCTGCAATAGGGCAATCGCATTGATGGGAGCTTTCTTCATGTACTGTGGCTGCAAACGCTCTTTTAGTGGCCGTTGCATTGGGAGGATTCATCCATCGTTCCCCAATTTTCTGGGTGGTTATTGACCTTCCCTTTCGGACCTAGGGCGGTTGACATTTCCCAATGTGGTCAGCGAGAGCGCCGATACGTACATCCCACGCAATGTCCCCGGAGTTTGATGATACAACAGCTTAAGGCTAAAGAGAAGCCTTCGAACATACGGGCTCACTCCATCAAATCCAATCCGAGAACAAGACGGAGAAATGTGTGTCATGGAAGCAACTCCGATCGGCCGAGGCTTATTCCGTTCGGTGGGACTAATCATTCTGATGCTGTCTTGTGCCACGGCCAGCAGCGTCATCCCACCCAAGTCCACCCTGCTACCAACGAAATCTAAGTTTGCTGCAACTCAAGGCACGCCATCGTTCTCAATTCGTCTCAGCAACGAGACCTCTCAAGTTTGCAACAGTTCTACCCCGGGCGTCTCGGGATTCATCGACTCCAGCATAGGCGATGATGAAAGTCACATGTTCTTCTGGCTTTTCGATTCCAAGAATGATCCGTCATCGGATCCGCTTATTCTCTGGATGACAGGGTATGCCACTACTTCACCATGCTGCTTTCACCGAATCGCTTTGCTAATAGTTTGTCAAATGCCAGAGGCCCTGGTGCTTCTTCTACAGGCTATGGAAACCTCATGGAGTTAGGCCCCTGCCGAATAGCTCCTGAGGGAGGTTATACGATCGAAAATGAGTTTGGATGGAACAAGAATGCCACCGTTCTCTTCGTGGAGTACGTATACAGCATTGATATTGCAAATTATCAAGGGCCTGGGCAAATTTGGTACTGATTATTCAACTTCCTAGCCAGCCTATCAGCGTCGGGTTCTCAAGCGGCTCAAGGGTACCACAAGGCTTGACAGAGGCATCGCGAGCTATGCACACTTTCCTGAATCAGTTTCTCACTGCATTCCCTCTTCTGAGAGAGGTCGACTTTTATATCGCCGGAGAGTCGTACGGAGGCTCTTGGGTGCCGGCACTGGCATCGGAGATTCTGCGCAACCAAGAGAAAACCAATGCAGGCAGGGACGAAGATCCTGCACAACGTCCCTTGTCTCGCGGGGTGCTCGAAGGTATCCAGAAAATCAATCTTAAGGGTGTAATTATCGGCAATGGTCTAGTTCGTCAGCCCGTGCAGAACCCTGGAACCTTCGAGGCATTGTGCTCTGGCCCCGACGGACTTTTCAACACATCACAATGTCTCGAATGGGCTCCGAGAGCTCTATGGTGCGAGAAGAATCTCGGAGTCTGTGAGACGAAAGGTTGGACCTCGTCCGAATGCAAAAGCGCACAGAAGCTATGCTCCGAAATGGCTGAGGTTGCCATCAACGAGATGCACCGTAACCCGTATGATTGGCGTCGCACATGCGGTGACGATCCTTTGGGCTGTTACCCGGAAATGGCTCATATAGACAACTTCCTAAACAGCAGCATCGTCAAGAAAGCCCTCGGGGTACCGGAAGAGACACCATTCTTTGGTGTCTCTTTCGATGTCTTCAACCTGTGGGAGGAAGTCGGAGATTTATGGAAGTCGAGTGCGGAATACGTCAACTATCTTCTCAACTCGGTAGGCCACCTCCAGTGCAACTCCCTTCCTTTCCACATATGTTATCTTTACACGTGACTGTCTGCCACAGTGTGGTTGCTGAAGCTGAATCTCGTAACTTTTCAGGGAATTCGAGTCCTCATTTACGTTGGCGACAAAGATCTGTATTGCAACGCAGCAGGTATGAGAAGGCTTGTTAACGAAGGCTTGGAATGGAACGGTCATCCGTTCTTTCGGTTTCGGGAATATCTACCTTGGTATCACGGCTCGAAATGTGTTGGTCGATGGAAGTCATACGACAGTCTAACCTACGCCGAGATCTTCGATTCTGGTCACCTTGCGCCGTTCGATTTACCGGGGGAAGTTCTGTCGCTTGTATCGGGCTGGCTGGTTGATGGACAGCCACCGGTGAGATGATGAATACTTTGGTTCGCTTTCAATGCCAAGGAGACCTTGACCGACCGTGGTCCCA